CAAAACAACAAGCGCGGATATGTGCGGTCAACTGTGCATGTGTTGTGCTTGTGACGGAGGAAATGATGGGAATTTGCAGAGGAGGTTCGCCGGCGGCTGTGGAGGCATGACAGAGGTAGAGCCGTGGTGGCGGCGACAGCGTGACGATTGCGGCGGCGACTATGGATGGCTGAAGGTTCTGCCGACGAATGTGTATGTTCCGCTGACGAGTGTGTGTTGTGTGTGTGTGTGTCGCGTTCGTGTCTATATATTGTGTGGGTGAGAGAGAGGGTGAGTTGGGTGAGAGATGGGGTATGCGGAATGAGAACAGTTTAATTGGGGTTAGGCCCACTAATGTTATGTATAGTTGGTGTGTGAGCAAATGTCCATAATACCCTTAAAAATGGTATAATTTTGACTTTTTTTCATCCATTAGATCATCCGATCTAATGGCTATGATCTATTCTTATTTGTTTCACTGAGCATACTTCTTACTTGAACCCACTCTCTATGTATATATTTCAAATCGGATTCAACAGAAAATGAGAATATAGACTATAAGAGATTTTCATAATCCCAAACTTCTTTTTTATCATGTACATTTAAAAGAAAAGAGTATATCCCAAATTAACATTGGAATTCTCAAATCTCAACAATCGGAAACGTTGATTTATGAAAAAACGAGTATCTCAATATATGGTTGGATTCAAAAATTCCAACAATTTTTTAATTGATAATCATCCGAAATGGTTAGTTTTAACATATCAGATTTAAAAAAGAAAGGACACAAAAATTTTTGGGAATCAAATTTGTAACATTCATTTTTACAGTTTAAAAAAAATTATAGATCTAAGAGATAAGGATAAAATATTATCGGAAAAAATTTTATAACCACCAGAATTGAAGAAAAAATCAAGCCTTGGTATATTATTAGGATATGATCTGATTTACACCAAAATCCGCAAAAAAAAACAAATCAAGTAATAAGCTTATATTCATGTAAATCCACATTTTGAAATTACGAAAATAAGTGCAAATATATGCATCAAAATTTCATATGTAAATAAGTGCAAATATATTACCAACTAGGAAGTGACGTTGGTAAATAACGATCTACCATTGCAAAATTCGAACTCATTATTCATGGGAAGAAAGTATTTGAGTATCCTGTTGATTTTCCAACATTTTATTTTGACTTCCCTAATTTTGCTACCCGCAAGATGTTGACAATGTAGATTTTTAAAAGCAAATGGCCGTGTTTTTAATTTTATTTTCAAATATGTAGACATACAACTGTTTGTGTTTTATTCGAGTTCTCTACGGTGTTATGTTGTTAATATATATCCCATCATCTAATATTACAATTTTTTTTTCAAACAACACCCCAATAGGGTGGGGGTTGAGGCCGAACCCCCAACCTGTATATAAAATGCCCTAAATGGGCCGAAAAGTCACAATGTTACAAGTCCAATGTCTGATAATCATCTAATATTACAATTATCACTGAATATTGGCTTATGCGCTAGTAATAGTAATAACAATAATATAATAGTAAATAATAATAATAATAATAATAATAATAATAATAATAAGGCAAAATTGCATATAAAAGCACCACCTTTTATGTTTTTGCATTTTAATCACGACCTTCTCATATTAGCACTTAAGTACATGACCTTTCATCTCTTTGCAAGTCGAAGCACGACTTTCATCTCCGGCACCAATTAAATGACGTGGCCTGCCGGAATACACATGTGGAATTAAAAAAAAAACGGAAAAAATTCCAAAACAAAATCCACGCCATTTTCTTGACACGTCGACTGCCCCAAAAAATTTAAAAACCAAAATCCAAATCCACGTCGACTTGTAGAAATCCTAATATAAATCCCGAAATTGAAGAGGAATGAAACATTAAAAAATCCTCTGTAAAGGCAATCTCAAATCTCAAAGACAAAATCGACAAATCCAAGGATTGAATACTGAAAATCCAAGACAAATCGGCCTTATTCTATATGAAAATCACCAATGTGGTCCCAATACCGAACAGTTGATGAAGGATTGGCAGACAGGTAATCTTTCTGTGTAATATTCTATATGAAATTCACTATTTGTTTTTTCTTTTAATTCTATAATCTCTTTTAGATACATATATTTTATTAATTATGGGTTTCGATTAAGATATTTTGGCTTACAGTTTTGCAATTTTAGGGTTTATGGTTCTAAAGTAGGTTTTTTAAGGATCAGGGATGCAGAATTAGGGTTTTACTTTCAATTTGGGATTTTTAGGGATTAGAAAGACATAATTAGGGTTTTCTGTCAATTAGAAATTTTTAGGGATTAGGGATACAAAACTCAAAGTTTTGTTTTAATTAGGGTTTTTTGCCTTATAATTCTTATTCTAAATAAATTTTTTTCCTTTGCCAATGCAGTAAGTATACAATTTTTTTGAATCATGGTGGTAAGTTTCTCAACTTGGATGGGTTATTCGATTATTATGGGGGTGACCTGTGTGCCATACATGGATTGCAACCAGATAAGTTTTCTTACATTCACTTGAAAGGAGAAATACAAAAATTGGGTTACAAGGACTGGAAGAAAATCTGTTACAAGATTCCGGGAAAAGATGTATTTGCAGATATTTCTAGTGACAGTGATATGAGGAGTATGGTGAAGTTACTACCTCCAAAAAGGTTTATCTATGTGTATGTTGATGGAACAGGAGAAATAGTTGAAAAGAATACTGAGAGTGTACATGAAGCCAACCTCTGTGGTGATTCAACTGATGATGATTATGAACCATCTGAAGACAGTTCCAGTGATGATGGCCTATCTGATAGTGATCTAGTGACAGATGATGAAGAATACCTATCTGCCAGAAAGGATAGAGAATTATTCAGAAAAAGTCAAGGTGCAGATGGTATGAACCCTACAGATTCTGTTCATGAAGATGCAGCTTTTGAGGGACCTAACATTGAATTTGAGTCAGACTATGAAGATTCTGATGGTTCTGTGAAAACTCATTCAGAGAATTCTGATAGTGATGGTGTGAGTAAATCAAGGAAGAAGTGTGCTATATATGATCCCAAGAGTGATAAAAAGGATTTGCAATTTGTTTTAGGAATGAGGTTTGATAGTATTGTTCAATGCAAAGATGCCATCCAGACTCATGCTATTTATAATGGCTGCAACATTCAGTTTTGGAGAAGTAATGAGAAACAAGTAGAAGCTAGGTGTCAGAAGCCTTGTCCTTGGAAACTATATGCCAGCTTGATCAAAGGAGAGGGAAGGATTGCCATTAAGACCCTTGTTGCTGAGCATACATGTTATAGGGACATCAAAACTAGGCAAGCAACTTCTAGTTGGGTGGCTAAAGAGTTTCTAGATAAGTTTAGAAAGAAACCAAGGATGAAAGTGGCTGATTTGGAGGACCATATTATGGAAAAATATGCAGTGCAACCAAATAAGTGGAAATTGTACAGAGGCAAGTACAAAGCTTTGGAGATGCTTAGGGGGTCAGAAGAGGAGCACTATGGCTGTTTGAGGAACTACATTGCAGAATTGCAGAGGGTTGATAGAAATGGTAGGTTTGAACTCCTATTGACCACAGGTAGTGTTTTCAAGGCCTTTTACATTGGTTTTAGTGCTCTAAGACAAGGATTTTTGCAAGGTTGTAGGCCAGTGATAGGTTTTGATGGGTGTTTTCTTAAGACCTTTCTGGGGGGTGTTTTGTTGTGTGCTATTGGAAAAGATGGAAATAATCAAGTATTTCCTATAGCTTGGGCTGTTGCAAACTCAAAAAATGAAGAAAACTGGAAGTGGTTTTTAGATATCTTATTTCAGGACCTTGGCATTGGGGATGGTTTAGGTTGGACTTTCATTAGTGATCAACAAAAGGTAATCAAAATAGTATCTTTTGATGAACTTACTTATTTGTTTTGTTTATATATATGCACTTTTAGATATCTTATTCCTGTTTTGTTTTGTTTTATATATAGGGACTTATTGCTGCTGTAAATGAACTCACTCCACATGCTGAGCACAGGAATTGTGCAAGGCATGTGTATATGAACTGGAAAAAAAAACATCCTGGAAAAGTACTGAAGCACCTCTACTGGAAAGTGGTGAACAACACTTACAAAGCAGCTTACAAAGAAGCTGTTGATGATCTAAAGGCAGAGGACCCTGAAGCATGTAAAGATTTTTTGGCAAAGGAGACTTTCAGATTCTGTAAGGCTTTCATTATGGATATGCCTAAGTGTGATATGGTTTGTAATAATGTCTGTGAAACTTTCAATTCCACTATAGTTAAGGCTAGGAAAAAACCAATAGTGGAAATGTTGGAACTCATTAGGACATATGTGATGGAGAGACACCACCAGAAGCTAATGGCAACAAATGAGTGCACTGATGTTATATGTCCTAGGATTAGAAAGAAAGTTGAGGAGGCTAAATTTAAAAGTAGACTTTGTGTGACTAAGCCTGCTGTGGGTGATAAGTTTCAAGTTGCTATTCATGATGATCAGTTTGTAGTTGACTTGAGGGATTTCAGTTGCACATGTAGGGAGTGGGATATTTCTGGTATACCTTGTACCCATGCTTGTTCAGCAATACACTATATGAAGAGAGATGTGGTAGATTTTGTGAACCCTTACTTCAGTAGAGACAGATATCTGAAAGCATATTCACCTGCCCTTGAACCCTTGAATGGCAAAAAAATGTGGCCTTCTGCACTTGGTACTAAGGTAAAACCACCTCCATACAAGAGAATGCCAGGAAGACCTAAGATTGTAAGGAGAAAAGCACCTGAGGAAGAAGCCAAGAGTGCTACAACATTGAAAAGATTTGGCTTGCAAATGAGATGCCAGAAGTGCTTGCAGGTTGGTCACAACAAAAGAACCTGTAAAAATGAAGCTGCTCCTAAACCACCAAGGGTGAGTATTAATTGTTGCATTTATACTTGATTTTCTCCTTTTTATTTGTATCTTAATCTTAAAGAATTTGTATGATGGTTTGAATTGTAGAAAAAGATTGGAAGGCCAAGATTACAGGACAGAATTTGTCCTCCTGTAAATGAGGTTTCTGAAAGAGGAGAATCTACTCCTATGGAAGGCAGAAAGAGGAAAATGCCAGTTAGAAAGGGAACTACACAATCTGGCCAGGGGCAAATGTACAAGGATAGAGCAATGGTATTATGAGGATTATCTGAATTCCACTTTCATTAGTAATAATCTTAAATAAGTGTTGTTTAGTGATTTATTGTCTATCTAATGCAGGCAAGAAAGGGTTATGGTGTTTACCAATCTGAAGAAATTGGTGCAATTTACATGAGAGTGAGTAGTTTTTTTTTATACAAGTTAATGGTGCATTATAATGTCTAATTAACACTAATTTTTTAATATACTAGATGTCAAGTGACAAAACAGTTCATTGTATGTCTTCAACTGGAGGGACTAGCCAAGTGACAAGAGAACCTGGAGGAGACATTGCAGGAACACAAGAAAGTGTCGCCAAGTAGTTTTTTTTTTTTTTTTTTTTTGTTGTTGGAAGTGCAATGTACTTAGATAAGGAATTAAATTTGAATTCAGTTGTATCTTTTGTGGAATTCAGTTTTTTTTTAGGTGCTATCTTTTGTGGAATTCAGTTGTAAGGAATTATTGAAGTGTCAAACATGAATTTGCTCTTTTGTCAATTGAGTGGTTTCAGGGCCTTTATTAGTGTTATTTTTTCATTTCAGTTGCTCTTGTGTGTTTATGTCATTTCAGTTGTTTTTGTTGTTTATGTTTATGCCAAAGAATCTTCTGTGTTTGAATGACATGGTTTAAAAAGGTTTATAAATGTTGTTGTTTATGTTTATGCCAAGCAATCTTATCAGTTGCTATTGTGTGTGTGTGAATTGCATGGTGCAGGGCTTTTATTACTGGTATTGGTTATGTTTAAAGAAGCATATTATGTGCTTACAGAATAGACACAAATTTCACACAACCTTAAAGTTGTCCATGTTTTTACAAACACAAATCACACAACATTGATAATTTTTCCAAACAACACAAAAGGTTCAATGTTTCAAAGTCCCCTACGACACAATAATCTACTTCAACATTAATTGACATTTACCAGAGTCTAATCTAACAATGAACATAGATACAAATAACACAAGCAGAAATAACATAAAGACATTTCTCTCAAACTTCAGTCTCCTAGAATGGTTATGCACATTCTGCTCCAACTCTTGAATTTTCTTCTTCAACTGATGCAACTCATTTTCCTTCATCTCCAACTCTTGAATTTTGTTCTTCAACTGATGCAACTCATTTTCTTTGATCTCTAGCCTTTCAGACATAAGACTTTCAGAGATACTTTTACATTTCAATTGTTCTTCTAGCAAGTTCTTTTGAGCCTTCATTCTCAAGAAGCAAGCCTTCTGAAATGGTGGCAACTCAGCATCATGCCACTCAAAAAATTTGCAATCATTGGTCTGCATTATTAGGAAATCTCAATCTGTGATTTAATGTACAAATAGGGAATTTGGTATAGAAATTGGCATTGAATATGATAGTCTGCACAGGATAAAATTTCATCATCCCAACATATCAAGTATGCAGGATACAATTCAAGTATGCATAGAATAAACTGAGCTAATCGAGTATTATTCATAATCTGAGCACATATTCACAAAGCCAAACGATAGAATTGAAGTATGCCCAAGAATAAACCAATTAACCAAAAAGTATCAAATACATCAAATATCATCAATATACAGACAATGTATCAATTTTTCAGTCAATCATTGCGCCACAAACTCATAAAAACAAAACATTATCATATTCAAACATCACATGTTTGAATGAACAATGACAGAACAGATTTTCAAAAAAAAAAAAAAAAAAAAAACCAACCATGATAAAAAAAAAAAATCTTACATTTCTCTCAACACAGCGATAATACCTCCGAGCTGGATTTTTATCCGTGTTCGAGGTAAGTAGCTCCGCATGACCATGTTTACAACTAGGAGGATGAGGAATTGTGGTTCGACTGCTAGATCCGCTCGACATTTTCAGGACAAATTGGGGGTTTCGACAAACACTATTAGGGTTCGTATATGAAGAGGAATTGGGAATTTTGGGGTTTCGACAAGCCGTGGAGAATGTTTACTGAAATTGAAGAGCATCTGATTCACAAGAACTTTGCCATTATTGGCATATTCACAGAAATTTAAGAACAAAATTAGGGTTTTTTTTGTGAACGATTGAGAACGGGAGGGTGTTTTATATTAGGATTTCTACAAGTCGACGTGGATTTGGATTTTGGTTTTTAAATTTTTTGGGGCAGTCGACGTGTCAAGAAAATGGCGTGGATTTTGTTTTGGAATTTTTTCCGTTTTTTTTTTTAATTCCACATGTGTATTCCGGCAGGCCACGTCATTTAATTGGTGCCGGAGATGAAAGTCGTGCTTCGACTTGCAAAGAGATGAAAGGTCATGTACTTAAGTGCTAATATGAGAAAGTCGTGATTAAAATGCAAAAACATAAAAGGTGGTGCTTTTATATGCAATTTTGCCTAATAATAAATAGCCACCAAATGAGAAATATTACTCCAATCCAATTCTCATTTCCATTGCGCACATCAGCAGAATTTGACCAGCCGCATTGTTGGGATTGGATATCAGCCGTTGGATCTTAGCATGATCTCACACGTTATTGCTAATAAATAAGCATTATTAGATTCATTTTCTGCATCATTTCACATTATTGATTCTCAGTATCATAATCATTTACGTACAGAATTTCATCAATTTCACGGTAAAAATATATTTGGAATATGAAATCACATGGTATCTTTTTACCCCGTCACCAAAATAAGCAAGCTAAAAAATTAACTAAGGAAAAATGAAAAGATATTTTACCAGTCATATTTAACAGCAGAGATTTATATTATTATTATTTTTTTATTAATACTAATTTTAAAAAAAGCTTTCTAATTACTTTTATTAACTTTAAATGCTATACCGGTAGTCTAGTCATCAGTAGTACGCGGCATTACCAACCATTACTATGTATTACTCTACTAGCAAATATAATAATATATATAAACAAATAAAAATATATAACACCAATATAAAAAATAAAAACTAAACAACCATATTTATTAAATTTCAAATTGTTAGTGAGGTAAAATAAATCATCACAGCTGTCAATTTAAAATTTTGAATATTTAAGTTAATAATTTGATTTTCTATTTTAAAAAAATATTTATTATCAAGTATTTTGGGTGGATATTTTCTGCGTTTATTGACATGATCACCATACAATTCAGTATTACCGACAAATTTGCTACTTTGTGTGTTTTATAATGGACCATTGACCAATATCCGACAATATCGGCGATATGTTAAAACACTAGTTATTAGCTTAAAATAGTATTATTTACTTATTCATTATATTGACTATCATTAAAAAAAATGTACAGAATACTAAATTATTATTGTCGTATTGCTCATTAATATTATCTACTAATTATTTACCAAACATTTTCACAAAAATCAGCTAATAAATCAGCTAATAAAATTCTCTAATCAAATCAATTAACACAATCTTTTATCAATTATTTGACACTAATTCCCAAACAACTCATCTATAATTTTCTTGCAATTTACATAAAAAAGAACCTAAAAGAGCAGATAGTGGCAATAAAATTTGAACAATGAAAAAAACAGCTGTCACCAGCAGGCAAATGGTAAAAAACCTCAAAAATCGAAATAACTTTGAATTGTATTAACTATTAAATCAATAATATCACTCTATAATTTGATTAATTTCCCTTTTAAAAATTATATTTTACTGTTTTAATATCACTGTAAGTAAATTACTATAATTAAATCCCATTTTTTCGCGTCAACGTCTCAGTCCACGGTCCACCATACGCTACCATAAAAGTCACTCGTCTTCCCCATTCTTTACGTTGCTACCACAATTGCCTGTTTTTTTCTTCTCATCTTCTCCACGGGTAATCTCTCTCTCTCTCTCTCTCTCTCTCTCTCTCTCTCTGTGTGTGTGTGTGTGTGTGTGTGTGTATTTTTGCGTGCTGGATTGTACGTCATGAAACGCCCATCGTTTTCGTCTGTGCTGTGTTTTGAAAATTTCTTTTCTGCATTTTAATGGCGATGTATCGAGTACTGAACCTGAAAATCGTCGTCAAATCCGCGTGATCGATCCATGGCGCTATTATGATTTGTTTGTGAGCTTGTTGTTTTTTATTCTCCATTGATTTGTTTTTTACAAACATTTAATCGACGACTGTAGTCTGTAGTCTGTACGTAATGGATTTGATATTATGAACATATATTTATCTCCGATCGAGACTCACTGTAACTCCGATTGAAAAGTCGCTGTGGATTAATCTCTTTGATTCTCTTAATTTCCATCTAATTTGAGGCGTCCGATTGTCAATTTTACAGATCTGTTTTTCCCTCGCAAAATCATTGAAATTTCGTTTACTGTGAATCTGAAATCTTCAGGCCAAACAATAGACGGACCAAAAAAAAAATGGGCGTGGAGAATGAATCCAACGGCGGCGCACCGTCCGGTGTTCGGCGGAGGGCCTGCTCGTGCTCAAAAGAGGATTTTCTCCCGGAGGAGTCGTTCAGGAGCTGGGGCAACTACGTCAACGCTCTGAGGCAGACACCGGCTCGGCTGGCGGACCGGGTCCTGACCCGGTCTACCGCGGACGCGGAGCTCGAGGTGAAAGCGCGCAGCGAGCACGAGATGAAGAGGACGCTGACGTGGTGGGACCTGATTTGGTTTGGCATGGGCGCCGTCATCGGTGCCGGAATATTCGTCCTCACCGGAAAGGAGGCGAAGGAGGGCGCCGGCCCCGCCGTCGTGCTGTCGTACGTGGTCTCGGGGCTATCAGCGTTGCTGTCGGTGTTCTGCTACACAGAGTTCGCCGTGGAAATCCCTGTTGCAGGTAACGGAAGCTGACCGAGTCGTTTTGGTTTGGTACTTTGTTGTTCACGTGAAACTAGTGTGTACCCGGTGCGATACACAGGAACAATATTAAATTAACAATATTATAAATAGATCTCGAGTTTGAGTCACCGGAAGTAGAAACTACTATTGATCCTATTTAAAAAGAGAAAGAAAAAACATAATTATAAAGTAAAGAGGAGGATAAACAATACTTAATAATTATAAATTAAAGATTCGGGGTCAAACAATGTAAAACTATTTTGTATGAGAAAATATGAAATTTACATTATTTTGTATAAGAGAATATAAAATTTGCATGTTTAATATTAAAAACACCTAAAATATTATATTAGTATATATGTAAAAGTATTCAAAATTTTCTATATTATTTTTGAAAGATGTGAAGTCATCTACAACTTTTCTAAACAATTTTAGAAGAAAAACATATCTAAGAACATCTGAATTTAACATTGTGTAAAAAAGATTTTTTTAGACTATTTTGTAAAGAAAATATGTCTATATTTAAATTTAATATGTGTATATGTACATATATATGCGTATGTTCGTATAATTTTTTAGAGATAATAATTCAACACGATGTATTTGTTTTAGGAAATGAATAACAAACTTAATATCAGTTTTGAATAATGATAAGGTGTATTTGTTTTTGGAAATGAATAACAAACTTAATATCAGTTTTGAATAATGATAAGGTGTATGAAATATCTTCTCCTTATCCTTATAATAAGATTTTGTTTTTGAATCTTAAAATTATCCCAAATATCTTCTCTTTATAATCTGATTTTTTTAATAAGATTTTGTTTTTGAATCTTAAAATTATCCCAGATATCTTCTCTTTATAATTAGATTTTTTTTCTTCAATTTATCGTTGAAAAAATATGTTTAAAAGGGTTACCATAAAAAAAATATGTTTAAGGCGTGCACTAATGTGAAAATGACATAAACGATGAGGACGCAAATGCTGAGCATGTGAAATGGACATAAGAGTTACCGATTTTGGAAAGTAATAAATGCAAAACTGACTTTGACCATTAATTAAGTTACTAATTTTGATAAATGTTAATTCTTATTATATAAGTATAGATTATTTGTTTGTTTAATATATTAATTATCTAGGAATTAAAGTGATTAAATTAAATCCACATGTCAACACTTGCACGAGTCAAGAATTTTCTCCAAGAAAATTTGTGTGGTTTAGTTATTATTGATTAATAATTTTTCTCATCGGGTCTTTTGACATTTTGAGTATTGTTTTAGCTGATTTCTGTAGCTAATCTTATCTATAGGTTCATTTAATTTGTGTGCCCCAAGCTAACACGTCCTTACTTTTTTTTTAATAAAAATACATACTTATACTATAAAATATTATAATTTTACTCATGTTGATTTTAAAATATGACATTTAATTTTGAAATTATGTACCACTTTTGAATTGTATAGTTGTTTGATTAAAATATAATATTTTAATTTGAAAGTATGTATCTATGTTAAAAAAAATACACGGTCTAATCTTGGTTAGTCAATTTTCTTTTAATAAAAATGCATATTATATTATATATATATATATATATATTTTGTTCATGTTGATTTTTAGCTTATCACATTTTAATTTGAAATCATGTAGATTAGTTGAAAAAGTAAAACACTAAGATTATTTTCATCCTTTAAGCTACTTTTCCACATTTTCTGGTTATGTTCATACACCACCTTTTATTAGTCAATTCCCTTGACAACTATCTAAGTAAAAAACGATACAATGAGCTGGGAGCAAGTTGACAATCAGTCTCAAGCTCAACCACCTCAAAAAAATTCTGCACTATTCGTAATGGCTCCGTTTGTATTCCGTTGTTGACCTGCAAACACTAAAATTTAAACCTACATTGTTGACTTGCCAATTGCCATGGCCATTTTATCCTTATGATTTGATAATGATAATAATCCCTACATTTCCAATTTTACCCTTGCAGGCGGCTCCTTCGCTTACCTCCGAGTCGAGCTCGGCGACTTCATCGCCTTCATCGCGGCCGGCAACATCCTCCTCGAGTATGTAATCGGCGGGGCCGCCGTTGCCCGCGCGTGGACTTCCTACTTCGCGACCCTCTGCGGGCACCGGCCCATCGAATTCCGCATCGTGGCCCACTCCCTCCGCGAAGGCTACAACGAGCTCGACCCGATTGCCGTCTTCGTCCTCGCCGCCATCTGCCTCCTTGCCGTCCTGAGCACGAAAGGCTCGTCCCGCCTCAACTACGTCGCCTCCATCGTCCACGTCATTGTCATCGCCTTCATCATAATCGCTGGCCTCGTCAATGCCGACCCGAAAAACTACGTCCCCTTCGCCCCGTACGGCGTGCGCGGCATCTTCAAGGCCTCGTCCGTTCTATTCTTCGCGTACATCGGTTTCGACGCCGTCTCGACGCTGGCCGAGGAGACCAAAAACCCGCCACGTGACATCCCGATCGGGCTCGTCGGTTCCATGGTGATGACGACGGTCATATACTGCGTGCTGGCGACGACGCTCTGCCTGATGGTTCCGTACGGCGAGATCGACCCGGACGCGCCTTTTTCAAGGGCGTTCGAGCGGGTCGGTTGGAACTGGGCTCAATACGTAGTGGCCGCGGGGGCGCTCAAGGGGATGACTTCGGTCCTCCTCGTGAGCGTCGTGGGCCAGGCACGTTACATGACCCACATCGCGCGGGCCCACATGATGCCGCCGTGGTTCGCGAGGGTCGACCGGAGGACGGGGACGCCGGTCAACGCGACCGTCGCGATGCTCTCGGCGACTGCAGTCGTCGCATTTTTTACAGATCTCGACATTCTAGCCGACCTCCTCTCGATCTCGACGCTATTCATATTCATGCTCGTGGCCGTGGCGTTGCTCGTCCGGAGGTACTACGTGAGCGGCGAGACGAAGAGCGAGGACCGGAACAAGCTAATTGCTTTTGTCGTGCTCATAATCGGGTCGTCGGTGGGGACCGCGGCGTATTGGGGGGCGAGCGAGAAGGGTTGGGTCGCGTATTGCGTGACGGTGCCGGTTTGGGTGGGGTCGACGGTGGGGTTGTGGGCGTGGGTCCCGCGGGCAAGGGAGCCGAAGTTGTGGGGGGTGCCGATGGTGCCGTGGCTACCGTCGGCATCGATAGCGGTGAACGTGTTTTTGCTCGGGTCGATAGACGGGGTGTCGTTTGTGAGGTTCGCGGTGTGGACGGTCGTGTTGCTCGTCTACTACGTGTTGGTAGGGTTGCACGCGTCTTATGATACAGCTAAGGAGTTCGAGTCGAAGGCGGCTGAGGTGTATGGGAGGGCTGATGAGGGGAAAGGGCCGGCGGCAGTGGCTGAGGGGAAAGGACCATCTGCTCCACCAGCTGCCGTTTAGGATTGGTTTTAAGTACTTTTCTTTAATCAGTTTGCAGTGTGGTTATGTGTGCATAGTTTCTGGAATTTAAATTACAGGTGAAAATAGTATTTTTCACCCTATTATAACAAAAAATTATATTAAGTTTTACACAGAGTTGGTAAGATTTGCATTAAAAAAAAAAAGTGAAGTTATGTGTAAACTTGATATATGTTAAAAAATGGGAGTCCATTGATTATAACTATAATGTAGTTTCTATATATAATTGCATAATGCGCCGAGTCTGCGTGGTAGCCGTACACGCTTCGGAAACCTACTTGGTAAAAAAATATACATCGTAGTTTGATTTGGATAAAAAATAATATTATTCTAAATCAATACTTTTAGGTTCGGACATTCCAAAAATATTAAAAAATTAACTTGGTAATTCCATAATAGTTTGAATAATATAACCCTTAAGTTGTATTGGAACCTTTGGTAATGATATTGATTGACTAATATAACCTTGATTTGTTTTGGAAGCTCTCAGCCTATTAATTTTCATGAAAACTTCAAATTAACCTAATAAATACATATATTTAATTTTAAACAATTGTTGTTGTTATAACCTAATAAATACATATATTTAATTTTAAATAATTGTTGTTGTTATAATTATTTAATTATAAAAATAATCTTCTTAACAAGTACTCGTGTAGTACACGAGTATTGTACTAGTGAGTTATATATTGTTTATCAAGAGTTATTTTATATCCAATCATCTATTTCAGAATTCAATTAACCTAACTCTTGTATTTTTTTTTACAAATCATTTTTACACATCAAATCAATTTTAATTCATTATTTATCCACTGACATATTATTAACTAGTTTAATTCACTGATCAATCATTTTTACACATCAAATCAACTTTAATTCATTATTTATCCACTAACATATTATTAACTAGTTTAATTCATTATTCATCTACATCATTAATTAATTTAATTCACGATTCATCTACTGAAATAAATTTAACTATTTATCACTTTCAATAATTTTTCTTCTCCTACTTTTATATCATATCGACTTTAATCATTACATTTTAAATATTATTTAATTTAAAAGTCAAAATCATCTACTCACTCTAGTTTAATCAAAACTAGTACAATACCCGTGTATTACACGGGTGTTGTATTAGAATGTTTTTATAAAAAATATTAAACTTTTTACTTTTTTAAAAGTTAAAATAATTTAATTTTATATTAAATATTACTTTAGGTTTTAATTAAATTATCAAATTATATTTTTTTAATCATAATAATTAAACACCCGTACATTAAATTAAAATGTCAACCCGTGTTGAATTTTTTTACTTATATCATATAAAAATATTGATATTATTTACTATTACATAAGTACAAAATATATATATCTTAAATAAATAGAAATAATATGATGATATGTATATGCATAAGTGTAGAATATGTTTATTTATAATAAGCAAAATAGATTAATTTTTTTACTTAATTAGATGCCTAATACATCAAGCTAGTGTCGTATTTCAACTTTATATGTAATTTTAGAATTTATATAAATAATTATTTATTTTTATTATTGACAACATACCAATTAGATTTGAAATAAATATTATTTTTAAAAGAATACATACCAATTTTTATTACTTTATAATATAATTTATAGTTTTATTTGATATAATTTAATTTAGTTTGATAAATAAATTTAAATTTTATTTATAAAGATATATATTACTGTTTTGTATTATATATATATATATATATATATATAAATAGTAAAATACAAACGGACTTCATAATATCAATTCAAAGGCAACACACTAATTAAGATATTTTTTTGTTGACAATATTAATCCTATTTAATGGATGTTATGGGAAACGATGGAGATGTGCTATGAAGAGACACTGTGTATTAGATGGAGGGCTAAAAATGGAAAAATATGAACAAAATATCAAAAACGACATTTATTTATCAATGATCAATTAAGCCAAAGTGACACATAATAAAAATAGGAGGGAGTATATTATTATATATTTTAGTATGACAAATGTTACTTGTGTGAGTTATATGTGTTATATTATAATAAATTTTGTACCTTATAACATATATCTACATTAAATATAAATATATTAATTGATAAATAATTTTATTTTCTACTTAATTTTAATAAATATTTTTATTATTATTATAAAGATAAATATAATTTATTTATTTTATATATACAATATGAATATCAAATCGAAGTTCATCAAAAGATGATTAATTTAATATATTATATATGTAAAACCGATAAGAAATACAAAAGTT